TGCAGGCAGGTTCAGCCTCGGGGTCACGTCCCGCTGCCCGCCTGTAGACGGGCTCAGCTTCGGGGTCTTGTCCCGCTGCCCGTCTGCAGGCAGGTTCAGCCTCGGGGTCACGTCCCGCTGCCCGCCTGTAGACGGGCTCAGCTTCGGGGTCTTGTCCCGCTGCCCGTCTGCAGGCAGGTTCAGCCTCGGGGTCACGTCCCGCTGCCCGCCTGTAGACGGGCTCAGCTTCGGGGCCTCGTCCCGCTGCCCGTCGGTAGGCAGGTTCAGCTTCGGGGTCCCGTCTCGCTGCCCGTGACCACGTTGCGCTGTGTGGTCTCGGTCTGTTGCGCGCCTTCTGCCAGTCGCCGGTGCTGCTTGAGGGCGAGCGCCTGGCCACGCCCGGCTCGGGTCAGCGTAGGTGTCCAGGCCCGGACGGCTGCGAGCTGCGCCGCGACCGCGCTTGGGGCCGCTAGTCGCGAATCTTGATCTCATCTCAATCGCTCCCAAAATGGTCTAGGTACGTGCGGCGTTTCGTCTGCATTACACCCGCAAACATGCTCTGGAAACATGTGACATGTAAGTAATGTGTTGATCTCTTATGACGTGACCTTGACCTCTTTTCCTAGCATCGGTATAATATTCATGGACTGTCTTGCCCTGGCTTTGAAAACTGGAAAGGAAAAGGGAAGTGACGAGGAAATTATTGGAGATAATCGACCCCGTGGTTTTGTTTTTTGTTTTTTGGAATTCTAAAACCAATGATGCAAAAGGTGTGTTTGAATTTTGATTCTGTTCGATCTCACATTGACCCTCAAATGCACGTTTTGAACCGCTTACTGGAAACATTTTGGTTGGCGTATGACCTGTTCAAATCAGACGATTAGCCCCGGAGATGGACCGAAGATAAACATTCCGTGAGGCGCGCCGGGCTGCTGGTCCCTGTAGTGACGCGGGGTTAAGAAGCAAAAAAGAAGAAGACCTCTTTAGGCAATAACTGGAAACCAGTTAGACTACTGTATGCTATTTATTTTAATTCCACCGCATAGGAGAGCAATCCAAAGCATGATTGACCATGGGGGAGTGACAGAACATAATTATTTCTACAGTTTGAACTTATTGGAGGTGGGCCGCGTAATCTGTACAAGGTGACAGTTCCTGCCGGCCCATGGACGGTAATCACCGAAATGGGGACAGTGTTCAATAAAATTTGCGTTTTGTGTTTCCAGGGCACCGCTACCTTTAAATTACATGAATATTACATCTGTGTTTGCTCGCAACATTCAAGACCCGTGTATGTGAACCTTTTCGCCGGTATTCAGTTTCTGACGCAGGGTATAGGTATTTTGTTTGCGTACTGTTATGCGTGGATCGTATTATTTCAAATTGGTGCGCGCTTTGTCGTAAGCACGCCCATCTCTGCAACGAATTTGAGCATCGAAAATCCTGAGAGGAGATGAGGGTCAGCCTTACCAACTGTTTCGATATATATCGATGACTATGCGCATGAAATACGACGCCGGTGCCTGCGCTTGATTGGATATGTCCAGATTTTGACGGTCGATCTCGCGGATGGTAGATGGCGCACGTGTTCCATCGCCGGAGGGAGCGGCGCAGTCGGTGTGACCTCCTCTGTTTCAAATGGAAAACCGCACAGCGTCGCTGGAGCATATGTTATCAAACATTGCACATGCTTGACCTCCGTGCCTAAAACCAGTCGGCCCCGTATCCCGATCGGTGGGAGTGCCTGTCTCCCGTTCCGCCGGTGGCGGGGTGAGGGTTCCATTGGCCGGTGGCAGCGGCTGCTGAAGGTCAGAGCAGGTCAGATGGCAGGGCGGGCTGTACTGAGCGTTGCGGCACGTTAAGCTTTCGGCTCGAGATTCTGCTGTTGAACTGGGATTTCATGACCGTATGATTAGATATTTCTGATCACAGAAATCCTTCCAATTGAGCGTATTCCGACCAAAGTTATAAAATGGGTATACAATTCTTATAACCCGATATCGTCCAAGTTAACTGAAAAATGCACTGCTTTTGCTTTTGTCGGACAACCAGAAATACATGAAACGCTGTATTTGTAAGTTGTGCATTTTGATTTCGGCGCACAGGGACCGCTCTTTTAAAAAATAATTAGAGGAGGGGAGAGGGTGTAGCATGCGTTTTTAGTTTTTTGTTTTCAAATAATTGGTTCCATGTGTCGCCACCGACCTGTTATCAATAATATGAAAGTATATGGGCGGAAGGTTATGGTTCTAAAGACTGTACCAAGTGTACCACCACCAGCTAATAGGATGGGATTCATGAAAATGGGGCAGCATTCAACGAAATTATTGTGTTTGTAATATGTTAATTACAAAACACGCTCATGCGTTTACCAAATCCAAGATGTTTTTATGTGGACCTCTGCGTTGCGATTTAATGTCCAGTATCAGGGAAGAGATCCCGCCTATTTGTAGATCGTGTTGTCATTCTGCATACTGTATACGCCATGCAGTGAATAGCTAAAGATGCTCATCGTCGCAACGAATTTAGTTACTAAGATGCTTAAAAGGGAATGGCGCAGTGTTGCTAATCATGCTGCCGCCCGAAGAAGAGAAGGGTGTGGCGTTGCTGGTCATGCCGCCACCCGATTCTGGTTCAAATCCACTTCTCTAGGAAGCACCTGGCGGCGTGAGGCTCCCCTCCAGTGTCAGGGACCCACGTTTTGCTCCGTCTCGCGTCTGTATCTTGCGTATTTGCGCCTCATCCTGGTGTCTACGCCGAAGCTTGGTCCGCCCTGTCACGTGCTCTCGTCCCGTGTTCCCCCCACGACCGATGGTCTTCTTGTGCCCTGGCCCACTGCTCCGTCAGGACGGGGGTCCTGGGAAAGCGTCCTTTTCCAACAAAAATCGGCTTTCAAACTCGTGGTCCTGGTCCCGGGTCGTCGTCGTCTTCGCACAGCCCTGACCAACTTCCTGCCTCGCGTCTCTGGCCCGGTTCCTGCCCTTTCCATTGTCTGTATCCCTGCCCGGGCCCTGCGCCCGTGTACCGTATCCCTTGTCCCGTGTCCTGTGTCCTGTGTCCTGTGTCCTGTATCCTGTGTCCTGTATCCTGTGTCCTGTATCCTGTGTCCTGTATCCTGTGTCCTGTGTCCCGTGTCCCGTATCCCGTGTTCCCGTGCCCCATATTCCGTGTTCCGCGTCCCGTGTCCCGTGTCCCGTGTCCCTTGTCCCGGTCCCGTGTTCCGCCGGTGCCGCTGACCGTCGCGGCGTCCCTCTTCCGACAGGTGTTCTCTGTCATGGCCATATCGGGTCTTATGAACAACACGCTGCGCTGGTCGGCCAACCTCAAGGAGTGTTTGGAGGCGGTGCTGGGTCTGGGACGGTATCAGGTCAGCGGCTCACTGTCTGGTGTGGGGCCGTCCCGGTTCCGTTGTCGTCTCGCGACGTCTGCTTGTCGGGGCGGTGAGGCCAGGGCGCCGGACGGTGCGTGTGCCACGTCCTGACCAGGTCAGCGGTGACGTAACGCCGGAGGGGAACCGCCGTGGAGGCTAGCGGCCGCTCGTGTTGCATGCTTATGGGCTGGAGAGTTGGGAGGAGTGTCAGGCGGGGATGTCAGGCGGGAACTTGGGTGGGGATGTCGGGTGGGGGACCGGCCGGGGAGTTGGGAGGGATGTCGGGCGGGGTATGGGCCGGGGAGTTGGGCGGGGCGGCGGATGGGGGGTCAGGTGGGAAATTTGCATCGCTGTGTCTTATTAAGCTGGTGCGTATGGCACCAGCTTACGCGTACCGGCCGAGCGGGCTCAGTCGAGCCAACGGCCCGGCAAATAACCAGTCTAAGAAAGCACTGAACTCAGAGGACCCGTGCTCCACGCGCCAGTGGAGCGGGTGATTGTGTCCGAGAGCTTGTAGCGTGCCGAGCAACGTGATGATACGCCCGCCCCGTGCCAGCCTCACTCTCTCATGGCCAGTCGAGCGTTAGCCGTCTCAGACGAGCCGAATCACCGAATACGGTGTTTGGGTCACGACCCCGCGTGGTCCGGCACCGTGGTGTCCGGATCCTGATCACGTGTGCCATAAGTTATCCATGGTTTAGATGTCGAGCGCGCCGCCGACCGAGGCAGCAGCAGGACAGGATGTATCACATAGAGCGATGCGGACTTGTGTTCGAGTGTCGGGACCCAACCAGCGGCGTAGCGCGCACCGGCCCCAGTCGCCCTGCCAACCGAGGCAGCAGCAGGACAGGATCTGTCACATGGAGCGATGCGGACTTGTGTTCGAGTGTCGGGACCGAACCAGCGGCGTAGCGCGCACCGTCGCCAATCGCACCGGATGCTTTACATCTGCACCCGCATTCAGTCACATCACTCGACCGTCCACCGCGCTGTCGCTTTACTGCCGGATCGGACGAGGACGATTGGTTCGCATCGGTCCTCGATGTCTTGGCGGCCACACTGCTTTGCATGGCTTTGGTGTGCATGTCTTGACATTCGGCGCATGGAGTGCTTTTTTGACGCTTTGCCAGTGCTGAGCCGCCGTTGGGCCCTCCGTCGCCGGCCGGTCGCCGCTGGTCACGTAGCCCGTGACCCGTGTCCCGCCAGTGACGGGATGCGTGGCTGTCTGGCGCTCAGAACGGCTTGGGAGGCCGGCCGACGGCGGCTGGTGCTTGACTGCGTGGTCGGGCGCAGCGCACGCTTTGGTGGTGTGTCAGCCGTATGGTTATCACGTGACGTATGTTCAGTTATGCGTAGTGGTCTTTAAAGACCTTGTTATTCATGAACAGTTTCGCATTTGTTCTTGCATTCACTGATGGTAAGGATGGTCGGGTTTGTGGACTCATCAACGATCGACATGGGCTCATCAAGCCCGTTTTCCGCACGGGCGCTAAAAGCTGTTGATAGCACGCGTCTGACTCGTTCCAGCTCCCCTCATAGTCGTCCGTCGTTGCCTTTTGCTCGAGTGAGGCCGCGGACGAGCTTCGTCGTCGTCCCCCCCCCCCCCCCGCTCCCCTTCCCCCGCCGTTGACCCGCTCCCCTCGGGCGGCAGAGCGTGCTGCTGATGGAGGACCAGCAGCCGTACGTGCAGGTGCCGGACGACATACGCCAGGCGGTGGTGATCCAGAGCGCCACGCTGGGCTGGGACGCCGTCACCGGCGAGCAGGCGGCCGGCCGACCCGTCCGGTGGGTGGCCGGGGCGCCGGCCCTGCCCCGCCCCGCCCTGGTGTCGGCCCGGGCCGCGGGTAGGAGGCGGTTGGACCGTGCCTCTGGTGTGGTGTCGCGGTGGAGGAGAGCGGTACGGTGCCTGGTACACTGGCGTCAGGCGGGGGTCTGGTGTTGTCGCGGCGCGCCCGGTGTGGGTCAGGCGCGCCACGCTCGTCTGGTGCCGGCGCGGTGTCTCGGTATGAGGCGGGGGTCTGGTGTCGCCGCGGCGCGCTCGGTGCGGGTCAGGCGCACCACGCTCGTCAGGCGCTGGCGCGGTGTCTCGGTATGAGGCGGGGGTCTGGTGTCGCCGCGGCGCGCTCGGTGCGGGTCAGGCGCACCACGCTCGTCAGGCGCTGGCGCGGTTGTCTCGGTATGGGGCGGGGTCTGGATCGCTGCAATTACCGCGGCGCCGGCGTCCGTCCGTCAATAGGCACGGTACGTGCGGGGTGTCAACATACGAGGAGGTGTTGAGCGGCGTCAGATCTTCGCCACGCCGGCTCGGTTGTCGGCGTTTGCGCTGCTGTGACCCGGGAGCCTGGATCGGTGGCCCGCCGGTGTCGCCGATAAGCCGGCGGTGGTGCGGGACGCGCCGGCCACCTGACGGGCCGCCGGCGCTGTTTGCAGGAGCGCTAACGGTGCGCCGAGTGCAGGGAGCGACGCGGCCGAGATGGAGTCGCTGCAGCCGGCCCCGACGATCGGCGCCAGGGAGGTGCTGCTCGACATCGACCTCGTCGTGCCCAAGGTAGACCAGTAGGCGAGCGTTGTAAGGGATGGGCTGCCGATGAACTTCCGTTGTGTGTGTTGTTCCACGAGTGGAAGATTGCTGTTCCAAAAGCAGGTTTTCGACCCCACTGAAGCCCGAATTACTGAAGTCCTGCCACCTGTGCTCTTGTTCCTTGGCTGCAACGCCACGGACATGTCCGCGAAGGAAGCACAGCCATCGCGCACTTACACCTCAAAAGACCCACGCTAAGGCTGAGCCTGCACGATTATGACATCTGGCGTTGAACTGGTGCAGTGCTGCTGGATGTAGGCCGGTACCAGAGGCTGACGTGCGGCGTGATCAGGGTACGGACAGTTCGTTGTGGGTATAGTGTATGGTTCCTGCCAGGTACCGCTCTCATTTAACATTGGCCTTCAGAAGCCTGTGCTCGCTGTCGAGTGATGTCTTCGGCAGAAGTCCTTCAGCACAAATTGTGTTCCGTATTGTTTCTGTCTCTGGGCGTGTTCTGCTGGCCTCTGCGTGTCTCTCGTGGGTAATCTCATGTTTTGTGAGGACACGAGGCCCTCGTTTGACTCATCACTGCCTGTACGTGGCCCGTGGCGCGGCCTGTGACCACCGCCGCCGGCTGTGGTCCGTGCAGGGCACGCTGGTGGGCATCTGCGGCGCTGTCGGCGCCGGCAAGTCGTCGCTGCTCTCGGCCGTGCTCGGACTGATGCGACTCAAGTCGGGCCAGGTGAGCTCGCGCGGCCGGCAGGGCAATGGAGCGGACTGAGTGGGACTGGCGGACTGCGGACTGGACAGCGCCGCCAGATGGATCTACCGTCGGTGGGCTGTGGACTGGACTGGTGGACTGGGGACCGGTGGACTGTGGGCTGGTGGACTGTAGACTGGTAGGCTGTGATCTGGTGGACCGTGGACTGATGGATGTGGACTGGACGGCTGCGGCCGGGCTCCGTCACCAAGCCAGGGCTGGCTTCGGGCCGCCTAGGGCCACTTCATTACGTACTCGAGGCCAGTTGATGACAGCGGCTGATGTGACTCGGACGGAGGCTGATGTGACTCGCGGCGGCGGCGGCGCTGTGACGTGATCATGCTGAGTGAGGAACGCTTCTGATGCCGCACGTGCATGCTGCCCGTCGTGTACCCTGGATCACGTGATGTCCGCGTCTGGCTGTAGGTGGCTTTGGATGGGTCCTGCGCATACGTCAGCCAGCAGCCCTGGATCCTGAACGCTACACTCAAGGAGAACATCCGCTTCGGGCACAGCTTCGACGCCAAGAGGTAGCCGATTCTAGGCTGGTTCCACATTGTGCCGATGGTATTTTCCACCCGCCTTAGCAGCAATTAACAACTGATTGAATGCCGAGGTGGCGGCGCGGCTCTGGTGTTTTTGGTCGTCGTTACGTTGGGTTATTGCGCAGACCTGCCATATGGAGGTCAGTGAGCTGTTTGATTGGGTGTTTACGGTGGCTCGACTCTGCGGCTGAAGGCTGCGACTCATGCGGCACCCGGTTAAAGCGGATGGGAGGGGCCCGCGACCTATCAATCTTAGGCCATCACACTTGAGGGCGAAGGACGAGGAGTGGGTGGGCGACCGGCTCGCTCTTGGTGGGGTTAGTTCGAGAGGCCCTGCCTTTCCCTCTCCTTTTTCGTCAGGTGTATTTGTTTTCGATGTAAGTTGTGCTGTATCTTAGGCCGGCTTTTCTCAGCATGCCTGGTGGGCGTGAGGACGTCGCGGATAAATCCTCCGGTTCGCAGTCCCATACTGCTGTCACTGCTGCAAGGTGCCTCGCTGCGCCGTCGCCACTGTCGTTCAGTTCCTCACCGTGCCGGCATCGATGTACGGTGGTCACCTCACCGTACTTGCGCCCATGCGTGCCAGACACTCCGTTCGTCAGCGCCGCCTGCAGGCGTGGCGCGCCGCACGCCATCTGTCCGTAGGTACCTCACGGCGTCTGCACCCCCGCCTCCCTCCAGGTACTTCATGGCTCTGCGGGCGTGCTCGCTGCACGATGACGTCACCACGCTGCCCGGCGGCGACGAGACCGAGATCGGCGAGCGGGGCATCAACCTGAGCGGCGGCCAGAAGCAGCGTGTGGCGCTGGCGCGCGCCCTCTACGCCGACCGGTCAGTGGCGCAGCCTACGTTGCTGGATATGGCCAGTCAGAGACTCCCTCCCTTCGGTTGTCTGAGGGTGCCCGGTAGGTGGCACATCTCGCGGCTTTAGACGACCAGCGGGGGGTGATTCTCTCCTCGTTCGATGTAACCGGCCAGAGGTGACCCTCCCCTCGTTCAATGCGACCGGCCAGGGTTGACCCTCCCCACCTTTGATGTGACCGGCTGGGGGCGACCCACCCCTTGTGCGCTGTGACCGGCCAGGGGTGACCCTCCCCACGTTTGATGTGACCGGCTGGGGGCGACCCACCCCTTGTGCGCTGTGACCGGCCAGGGGTGACCCTCCCCACGTTCGATGTGACCGGCTGGGGATGACCCACCCCTTGTGCGCTGTGACCGGCCAGGGGTGACCCTCCCCACGTTTGATGTGACCGGCTGGGGGTGACCCACCCCTTGTGCACTGTGACCGGCCAGGGTTGACCCTCCCCACCTTTGATGTAACCGGCTGGGGGTGACCCACCCCTTGTGTGCTGTGACCGGCCAGGGTTGACCCTCCCCACCTTTGATGTGACCGGCTGGGGGTGACCCACCCCTTGTGCGCTGTGACCGGCCAGGGGTGACCCTCCCCACGTTTGATGTGACCGGCTGGGGATGACCCACCCCTTGTGCGCTGTGACCGGCCAGGGGTGACCCTCCCCACGTTTGATGTGACCGGCTGGGGGTGACCCACCCCTTGTGTGCTGTGACCAGTCAGGGGTGACCCTCCCCACCTTTGATGTGACCGACTGGGGGTGACCCACCCCTTGTGCACTGTGACCGGCCAGGGGTGACCCTCCCCACATTTGATGTAACCGGCTGGGGTGACCCACCCCTTGTACGCTGTGACCGGTCAGGGGTGACCCTCCCCACCTTTGATGTGACCGACTGGGGGTGACCCACCCCTTGTACGCTGTGTCCGGTCAGGGGTGACCCTCCCCACCTTTGATGTGACCGGCCAGAGGTGACCCTCCCCACGTTCGATGTGACTGGGCAGGGGTAACCCTCCCCCCCGTTCAATGTGACCGGCCAGGGGTGACCCTCCCCTCGTTCGATTTGACCGGCCAGGGGTGACCCTCCCCTCGTTCGATGTGACCGGCTTGTTGATAGCGGTTGGTTTGGTCCTTCAGCAACTGGTGGGTGTGGCCCTCGGTCGTCGAAGGCGATCGGTTGTTGACTTCATTGTGTTCGTGGGAGATGATTGTACGGCGTGATCTCCTTCTATGCCGGCGGGGGGGGGGGGGGGGAGAAGTGGACCGCTTAGGAACAACGCCTGCTCCATGGCTGGAGATGAACAGCTGTGATACCCCTTGATATGTCGGAGACGTGCTGTCAGTTGTACTCTTTCCGATGCTGGACGCTCATTGCGAGCATTTATCTCTTCAACTAGACGTCGGCAAGTACATACCTTTGCAACACCGGCCGTTTACCTCTAAGACAGCCGAAGGACTAATGGAGGGAAAAAGAAAGCCGCATGACACCATTTTGTTATTAAGGACGCCGGAGTAGCGCTGTTGTAAGTTTTACGTGGCTGAAATCCATTATTGCTACTACTAGGGTGCAGGTAGCGTGGTGGTTAACGCGCCTGCGTCTGGAAAACCATAGATACGGGGGTTTGATCCCCGTGGTGCCCGCCTTTCCTGCCAGGGTGAGAGGAAGCGATGCCATACAACCTCAGCAGCTGAGTACGTCGTAAAGCCCCAATGACAACAACATTGTCGCTACTAGGAGACCGACGTGTACTTCACAGGGTAGACATTTGACGAGAGTGTCTTCCGTCGGCTCCCTGCGAGAAGGCCCAAACGTTGCTAAAGCCGGCGACAAAATCCCGCTATGTATTGGTGTCATTCAGGTGGCACGCTGGGCACATCTGCACCGGACTATAATGCCATTCTTGCGGAACTTATCAGATTACCGTTCCGTCGGTCGCAGGCAAGGCAGGTCATCAGTGTAAGTATTCTCCCTCGCTCCGGCTGAGCGCTGTGAAATCAATGACGATGACAAGTGACAGGTTAAAGAAGTGACAGCACCAACGGCAATACGTCCGCCTGAGCCACTGAAGCTGCTGGTGCTGCCTGAGTTTTGAAGGTAACCTGAGGTGATTCTCCCCATGTGGAAGCGCATGCCTGGCATTCGTGATAATGATCGTGGCGCCATGGGCGTGCAGTGGCCATGATCGACCCTCACTGTACCAGAAGATACCGGGTACAGGCGAGGTGCCGCCCAATACACGGCAGGCTCTGAGCCTGCCTGCATTAATCTGTCAGTGGTAGCCGCCTGCTTCAAAATGTGAACGTCATTGCAGGGTCCGTATGGGCACGGCCCTCAGCCCCAGTTCACATGCTACAGTCCCAGTTTGTAAGGGCACGGCTTCCACCAGATCAGGTCCGGGGCTGTCCAGTCACGTCATCGGCTCGCACGGTTCTTTACGAAACTGCCCGTATAAACCCAACAGAAGGTTCGAATGAACCCAGCAATGACACCCGAACCCTCAGCGATGTGAACGCCGACTGGAGGAGGCAAGGGTTTGGTTAAAGTCAGTGTTTTGCTTTCCACACGCGTTCGGGAAAGTAGGGCGTCAATTTGACCCCCGAAGGTTTTTGCATAATAATTTCTGAGCGGCGGCGTGTAGCCGCGCCGAACTGTGCATAGCTATAAGCAACTGAATAATGCATCATTTGGCTTAAAAATAGATGTACCTTGTAAGGTCGCTGACCTATGGCCTATGGCTGGTCAATGTCAGGCGGCGGCAGTCCGCAACAGGGACCGCAACAGACATGTTGCATGGACTTTAAAGGAGAGAGAGAAAAGTACCTTATTGAAGTTTCAAAATCAAAACGATCTATGCTTTTGTTCACCATGACCTTGAAAAGGTCACTGCTTTTTGAGGAGCATCAGTGTCCTTTTGCTTAGAATAGGTATTTAGGTTCGAGGTGGTTACAGAAAGAGGTGTGGGGTCACTTTGAACACCAACGTGGAATTTGATCTTGCTTGACCTTATTTCACCCGAATGACATGACCTGGGAACCCCAAACTGTGACATAAGTGAGTTCACAGGCCAACCCACCTCATGAATTCGATGCCTAGCTTTCTCAGTTTCGATATCTCGGGGGGTCAAGTTCCCTCCCCACCTGATTGAAGGTTATTCAGCTGATCGCCCGGGCGTGTGTTGAGGTTTTCGGAAAGGATTAGATGTTTTAACTGTAAGGACTTTTAATTAGAGATGGAGCATGGTCAGACGGCAAACGCAGAACGTGGTATGGGAGGTGTTATTTTTCTCAAAATGCCTGGATCTGCGAGGTTTGTACAGCGAGAGATTTGGCTCTATTCCGTCTCACCGCGCGTGACGTCATATTCAGCCAATCACCGGCCAGCCGCGGTGGTCAGCTGCCAGGCCGTTTGTTCTTGGTTTAGTTTTTCGTAATCACTAACTGTTACGTATAGTCAGGCTTGCAGTAAGCTGATGAAGTAATAGCGTTGAAACCCAGAAGCTGTGCTTGGTTGGACTTTGTAGTTACGGTTATCAATCCCTCCTTGTGCTGCAGTCCAATGATTCCAGTTTTATACCCCGGATACGAGGGCCAAACGTGCCATTTGATCTGCAGGGAATTAAAGCCATTCACACGTATCGGGCCGCTTAAGTCCCGCCAGAGATCTCGGGAGTCACCGATCGTGAGCATTTCCAACAGTCTGTCTGACAACCAAATAACAGCTTGGATGTAGGTGTCATTTCGCCCCCATCGTTTTCACGCACAAGGAGAGGCGCTGTCTTGTATTATGACTGACGTCCGCCCCGGTGGCGTAGATAACGGGAGGGGGAGTGTTTTGAGATAATCCTCCCCTGAACTGGACTCCTCCTGGGGCTGAGGGTGAAGTGCTTCTGGCGTCATTAGCTCGCCCTGGCTTAAACGACCCTCTATGCTGCGATTTGACCCCCGCCGGGGCGAAATCCAGGCCACACCACTGGCCTGCGTAGGTCATACCAGCACCCCTGAGCTTCCTGCGTGTGCGCCTTATGCCGACGCTGCGTCACGTTCTGTAGCAGAACGCCGGCTGGGCGGACAACGGATCAGCCCTTGTGGACGGCCGCCAACGAAAGTGCACGCCCGCGGCCGCGCCGACCTTGTGGCAAACTTAGCATACCTGACCGCCAACGCGGCCTCATTTGAATTTCAGAAATCGATGTTATGCGGAGCTTTGCAAATGAGCGGCGGTTACGTGCCAGCCTTGCCGGACACGTGGGTGTTGCCGGCCGCAGTGCTAAGCCTCGGTATTAAGCCAGTCAAGACGGGACCCGGCGCTTTAACGCGTGGGCGAGAGGAATGCCAAGAACATGGCTATGATTGATGCAGTATCAGCTCAGCAGCGTTGGTTTCTGTCTCGCACAGAACACACCGTGCGAAGCAGCTTTGGTGCACGTCTCGCACGGAACACGCTGTACGTGTGCAGGGTTGTGCTAGACACTGCAAGCAGACCTTGATTAGATTCGACACCAGATTAGTGGGCGCTGCAGGATGAATGCTGTTCTCTTGAGAACGCAGCAGTTACCGAGTCTACAGTGTATTCTAGCACCTTTTCCTAAATTCCGTACAGGCATCAGGCGTATTGGAGATGTCCTGATCACCCTTTCTAGAACGAAGTTAGCACTTATGAAAAGGTGTGCATTCGAACACAACACACAACAACGGCAGAGCAACTGGAGTATTGCCAAGTCTCAATGGTTTATTCAGTCGACCTCACCGTAACGACATGGGCCCCATTGCTACCACATCTAAGAATGCCATCACATCTGATGCCACATTTAGTAGTACCACCATCCTTTCATTTAGCTCCGTGGGCACACCAAAACTTCGAGGAATGCTTGCGGCACAAATGTGACGAGAAGGAGAAAATCTGCGAATCAGAAGGCATGGGGGCAAGTTTCAACACATTTCACCCCGAAAAATATTTTGTGTTGCTGTACCCAATGTTTTTTAAGCGGCTGCAGCCGTACAAAACGCTCCTGGCACATTCGAACGACATGTCACGTGATTTCCAGCTTCTTCGTCTTTCGTTGACCTGCCACGAATCAGCGCTGTGATACCTTTCCTTTTGTGGAGCGATTTATCTATGCTGATTTTGAAACGGTCTGAGTCCTTGGAACCGCTAGCTGTCCCCAGCAGCCCTGTTCAATGTCGTATGCAAATGTCCGACCCGCCTAATGGCCACCGCGCTGGCCGACACCCGCTGCCGGCGTGTTAACGTCAGGCTGAGTGACACCCGCGCTCTTTATCGGGCGCGCCATATCAGGGACTTGCAACACGTGTCCACGCGGCGCCGCCACTGCTGTTTTGCCGCTTTGCCCCCTCGGTTTTTTATTCGCAATCCGAATATATGTGATGCTTTGAGACGTGTGCGCTCTTTGTGGTTTCTTGAAACATTAAATAAGTCGGGTCCGCTGGTTGGAAGTAGTTGTGTTGGGTACCTGATTGCGCCCACCCGGTGCGTTCCAGAGAGATTTACTTGTTGGACGACCCGCTGGCGGCCGTGGACTCGCACGTCGGCAGGCACATCTTCCAGGAGTACATCCAGACGGCGCTGGCCTCCAAAACGGTGCTGTTCGTCACTCACCAGTTGCAGGTGTGGCATCGGACACGGGCAGAGGGCGCAACCTGCGGCCGCCTGCCGGGGCAGGGGCCGACACAGGCGGACTGGGATAGACCGGACCCACAGACACCCCGACCTGCGGCCGCCTGCCGGGGCAGGGGCAGACACAGACGGGCTAGGATGGACCGGACCCACAGGCACCCTAACCTGCGGCCGCCTGCCGGGGCAGGGGCAGACTCAGGCTGACTGGGATAGGTCCCGGGCCGTGCTTCGTCGTGCCGGCGGCCGGGCGAGCACGGCTACAGCCCAGTGGCGTCCGCCGGCTGCTGCCGCCGGGTTACGGAGCGAGCGGGCCGCCATCTCAGCGTGAGGCTGAATCGCCGCCGTCAATCACTGCGAACGTTTCCAGCCAGCCTGAAGGCCGCACGCGCTGCTCATCAGCGCACGTGCACGCTCGGCTCGGACCGCACGCACGGGCATGCGTGCTTGCCTCATCGGAGGGACTGAACCGTTTGGCCGGTGGTCGTGGGTGGCGAGGGCTGTTGACTTGCCGGTGTTCCAGCCTGTGATGTACCTTTTTCAAAGTTTGGCTCCGTCCTACACGGCCAATCCGCGGCGCCGGTGTGGCTGCTGTGCAAGCAGCTCTGTTCTCTGCAGTTCTGCGCACCCGTGTTGGTTAACCTGATCATCATAAAATATTCGTCACGATGGGTTACGGTCGGTGAAGGAGACATCTGCGGTCTAGCTTCGTTAGTACACCCGCGGACCAACTGGCGGCAGATAACACACTAACGGCTCACCATGCCGTCTCCCTGCGAGTGTTTGTTGGGGTGACGGTCTGTCGGTTTATTGAGATTATGATGATCCTTTTTTTTTGCATTCCGTTCCAATTATCAGCGGCGTTGAATTATGTCATGCCGCCATGGCTAGTGTTGGACTCGGCTCGGCAACTGGGTGAAACCAGTTGCTGCCAGTTTCCGCTATGTACCGGTCAAAACCGGCTTCAGTTGACAGAAACGCAGGAAGTCATAATGCCGCTCATTTCACCAATTACGTTGATATTATTTAGTCAGTGTTTCTCGTGCAGTCAACGGACCAGCAACAGTGCGCTGGTACAATAGCGGGGTTCACTGGCGGTGGATTGCGATTGCGATTCTCTACTAAACATGTCCCTGTCGGGCGTGACAAGCTACCACTCAGACATATGAATTCATCACTCAGCAGCTAAAGGTGATGCTTAATGTCAGGCAAATAAACTTCACAGATGATGGGCACATTCAAAATTTGCTTCAAGTCAATAAATAATAGCTGATACCTCAAATTTTGATTTCAAAATTGTTAGGCTTAATGCACATGTTTTCATTGGTAAAAATAAAAATAATGCATAAAAAATAATCTATCAGCCAACTTTCATTGAGAGACTGTTTTAGTAGGCTGCTGTCAAGCCTAGTCTGACCCGGACCTGACCTGACCTTGTGTCAGGTACATCACCGTAACTCGCCTGATGCCGTTCGCCTGACCTGATCTGACCGCACCGTATAGGAACCGATCCAGTGCGGTGACGTCTAACCGTGCAGAGTCGAACCTGAACTGACCTGACCTGACATGACCTGTCTGTTGCAGCATGCCTGACTTGACTCCTACTGTAGAATCTGATCCAGTGTGACTCTGTCTGACCTTGCTTTCTCGCACAGTACCCGAACCGACATGATGTCATCTGAGTTACTCGTCCTGGTCCTGTCCAACCTGACATGGCCTTGCACGACCTGATAGTCTGTTACAGATGCCGTTTGTGAGACGTGACCTGACCTTCCCTGACCTGGCATGTAGTACCTAAGCCGGTGCGACGCCGCGTGCCCGACCAGCCGTGATCTGCTGCGTTATTCAGAGCCAGTGCGATGCCGTCTGTCTGACTTGACCTGACTTGGTGATAGCGTGACCTGGCACAATATGTTGTAGTACCAGAGCCAGTGCGCCACCTGACCTGACCTGATCTGGCCCGCTGCAGTACCTGAGCCAGTGCGCCACCTGACCTGACCTGGTCTGGCCCGCTGCAGTACCTGAGCCAGTGCGCCTCCTGACCTCACCTGATCTGGCCCGCTGCAGTACCTGAGCCAGTGCGACACCGTCTGCCTGATGAAGGAGGGTCGGATCGTGGAGAGCGGGTCGCACGAGCAGCTGGTGGCAGCCGGCCGCGAGTACGCCGCCCTCATTAGCACCTACGTGCAGGAAGAGGACGAGGAGGAGGCGCAGCCGGGCGAGCCAGACACGGACCTGCTGCTGGAGGTGGCCGCATCAGGGTAGGTCGGCGACGGGTCCGCACTCGCGCTGAGGGGCAGGGGCGACGAGTGGGAGACGCTCGAGCCACGCACAGGTGGCTCGGATGGTTTGTGCGTAGGCGGTGGTGTTGGCCAGCCGGGCGGTACGTGTGTCCCGTGGCGGCTGCTGACCGACTGACGCTCGGCTGTGACCCACGGCCGGCTGGTCCGGTCAGCCTCTGGCGGCTGCTGACCGACTGACGCTCGGCTGTGATCCACGGCCGGTTGGTCTGTTTGATCAGCCTCTGGCGGCTGCTGACCGACTGACGCTCGGCTGTGACCCACGGCCGGCTGGTTCGGTCAGCCACTGGTGGCTGCTAACAGACTGACGCTGGGCTGTGATCCACGGCCGGCTGGTCTGTTTGATCAGCCTCTGGCGGCTGCTGACCGACTGACGCTCGGCTGTGACCCACGGCCGGCTCGTCCGGTCAGCCTCTGGCGGCTGCTGACCGACTGACGCTGGGCTGTGACCCACGGCCGGCTGGTCTGTTTGATCAGCCTCTGGCGGCTGCTGACCGACTGACGCTCGGCTGTGACCCACGGCCGGCTCGTCCGGTCAGCCTCTGGCGGCTGCTGACCGACTGACGCTGGGCTGTGATCCACGGCCGGCTGGTCTGTTTGATCAGCCTCTGGCGGCTGCTGACCGACTGACGCTCGGCTGTGACCCACGGCCGGCTGGTTCGGTCAGCCTCTGGCGGCTGCTGACCGACTGACGCTCGGCTGTGATCCACGGCCGGCTGGTCTGTTTGATCAGCCTCTGGCGGCTGCTGACCGACTGACGCTCGGCTGTGACCCACGGCCGGCTGGTTCGGTCAGCCTCTGGCGGCTGCTAACAGACTGACGCTCGGCTGTGACCCACGGCTGGGTGGTCTGTCTGATCAGCCTCTGGCGGCTGCTGACCGACTGACGCTCGGCTGTGATCCACGTCCGGCTGGTCTGTCTGATCAGCCTCTGGCGGCTGCTGACCGACTGACGCTCGGCTGTGATCCACGTCCGGCTGGTCTGTCTGATCAGCCTCTGGCGGCTGCTGACCGACTGACGCTCGGCTGTGATCTACGGCCGGCTGGTCTGTCTGGTCAGCCTCTGGCGGCTGCTGACCGACTGACGCTCGGCTGTGATCCACGGCCGGCTGGTCTGTTTGATCAGCCTCTGGCGGCTGCTGACCGACTGACGCTCGGCTGTGACCCACGGCCGGCTGGTCTGTCTGATCAGCCTCTGGCGGCTGCTAACGGACTGCCGCTCGGCTGTGATCTACGGCCGGCTGGTCTGTTTGGTCAGCCTCTGGCGACTGCTGCGCGTGAAATAGCCTACTGTGCGGGTTGTGGTGCATCCTGCGTTGCAGCGGAAGGTTTGAACAAGAACTTGGTGTCGCTCGTATATATCTGTCGGGTCCGGTTTTCTCAGGCTTAATCGGCGTCTTGCCATCCAAGTTATTGTTTCCACAAATGTAGATAAGCTGTGGATAACGGCATGTTTGACGGTAATTGTGGATAGCCTTGTCACCTATTTTACCAAGGTTGGGACTGAAAACTGCCGAACTGGCTTGCTACGCCTGTTATGAGTTATTTGCCACGCCAAAACGCGACACCATGCAGAAATGTACTCTTTGAAGGACGCATAGTGTGGTCCGAAGTCGTGTGCAACACTGACATCTGGAGGTCCAGTGTTTCATATTCGTGGTCCCTCGTTTGAAAAGTCATGGGTTTTTGGTGGGTGAATGGATCATCATGTACATTATATGTCATTTAAGTACAAACACCGAGCTTCCTGGTCAGTGCAAACTCTCTTGATATCTACAGAGAGTTAGTGAAGGCTATTGCAGCTGCTGTTGCCCTGTCCTCCAATTATCTGCCTTGTTTTGTGATCCAGAGATAGCGTGAGCAGTTTGCTGAAGTGAGTTCACGCATTCATTGATCATGCTTTCTTAGTCAAGTTTCCTTGCATGATATGTATTCAGTTCACATGCATGTGCGCAGCTTCAGACCCTACTGAAACGGCTGTCTATGCGTTTTCAAGAGGTCGCGGCGGTCGCTGAGAGGCGGGTCCACGAATTTCACTTTTGAGAGGATCGCTCTGTTGCCAATGTGAGGACACTCAAGGCAGCGTGCGGTACTGGACGGGAGCTTGCCGTGCCTCGAGGACTGGCGAGACAGCACGCGGCAGCGGACAGCGTCCCGGCGCGCGGCGGTTCGTACCGACATCAGGCCGTGGACCGGCGCAGTACACCGGCGGCAGTGGTGTGCCGCACCTCCCACATCTACGGCAGCTGTCTGCGGCGGGCGCGGCGCGGCCGGCTAGGCGTCCTGGATGTTGACCTGCTCGGTCAGCTTGGGGATGACATCGCCCTCGGGCCGGAAGCCCTTCTCGTCGGCGATGTAGGTGATGGAGGTGATGCTGCCGTCCGGGTGGACGAACTCGTAGCTGCCCGACATCACGTACTTGCCCGACTCCGGCTCGGCGCCCGGGTACGAGATTCCCGACTCCTCGCGCAGAATGTTGTTGGAGGTCTCAAATCTGCGGGGATGCGGGGAGCACAGTCAGCCGGCGCTGCTGGGCCGTTGTCTCGCCACTACGCTGCTCCTGACACATTTATTAGGATGAGTTTGCAACACAGGCTGCCGGCTTAACAACTGCTCTTGTATTTTGCTGCATCACTGGCGGATAACTCCATCAGGGTGTACACACCTGGCAGGTGGTCATTACTCAGCATTGGCGCAGTGGATAATAGCAGGGATTACGCAAACCATCTAGTGATGTAAGCGAATGCTCTGGGAATGACGGCCAACTCAGCCCGGCTCTACATCTGCAGCGTGCCCACTCACTGGAAGTCGTAGGACTGGTCGCTGCGCAGGTCGTTCTCCTGAGTGAGGATGCTGGCGGCTTTGTCGGGCCTGGCCGCGGCGACGGCCACCAAACACAGGACGACAAACTGCGGACAGAGTGGGGCGCGAGCCGTGACGCACGCGGTGGGCTGCTAGCCGACGGCCGGACACGGCGAGGTGTCGGTAGGCAGTTTGACACCGCTGCGGGGTGTCGGTCGAGGGCCAGACACGGCGAGGGGTCGGCAGACAGTTGGACACCGCTGCGGGGCGTCGATCGAAGGCCAGACACGGCGAAGTGTTGGCGGGCAGTTTGACACCGCTGCGGGATGTCGGCCGACAGCCAGATACGGTGAGGTGTCGGCGGACAGTTTGACACCGCAGCGGGGCGTCGGTCGACGGTCGGACACGGCGAGGGGTCGGTGGACAGTTTGACACCGCTACGGGGTGCCGCCCGGCGGTCGGACACGGCGAGGGATCGGTGGACAGTTTGACACCGCTGCGGGGTATCGGTCGAGGGCTGGACACGGCTGCTGGGTTCTGGCTGGGGATGTAGCGGCCGAGGAAGTCAGAGATCCGAGAGAAGTCGAATCGGATGGTCGCGCTCGGCAGCAGCCTGGAGGCACTGGGGCTATTGGCACTCCGGGGCACTCACGAGCTTCATGGCTGGCGGCGGGCGGACTGGTGACCCCCGCTCCGGCCGCCGTCGTTATATAGGTCCGCGCCACCATCAGATGGCCCGCGGTGCCACACGGCGGCCTCGCCGTCGTATGCATGATGCGCCTGCCGCGATCGGGGGCGTTATTTAGTGTCGACGCCAGCCAGGGCGGTGTCGGGTGGCCGCCGGCCGAACCGATGACGACGATAGGGCCGGCGGCTGCGACGCTCCGCCCTCGCGGCTGCCTGATGTCACCCGCGTCGACCGGCCACGAAACATCCCTGTCGGCGCCCGGGAGGCCCTGGCCGGCGGGACGGGAGGCGAGAGCGGCGGGGGGGGGGGGGGGGGGGAAGGCCGCAGCGCCGCCAGGCTCGTGCCGGAGTCGTCGTGGGTGGTGTGTTGCACCGGCACCACGCGCGCGAGATCTGCTGTGATCACCGGCTGACTCAGCTGAGCACTGCTGGGGCCATTTCTTGCGGATATAGCGGTCTCGTGCGGCTGAGGCATGTTGAGAGACCTAGCGCAGGTAGTCCCGTCTGTGGTGAAGGCGGTCCGATGGGCGGTGTCAGTCTGGCGTAGCCGACACGGCTTGGGGGGGGGGGGGGCTGGAGGACATGTAGTCTGCGAGACAAGGTGTCAGTTTGACACACACACACCCGCAGAGTTGTCCAAGGGCTGCCTTCTGGACATTACGATGACCTTAAAGAACAGCGTCTCTTCGAGGAATCGACCAAACACGGTCTTCTGAACAATGTGCGTGTGGGAGAGCCTTTACCCATTGTGTCACCGATAACAGCCAACCTCTTGCAGAGGCGTCACTTTATATAGTTTTTTTGGGGGAGCTGCCCCCCCCCCTCCCCGATGCTGACGTGAGCACCCTCAATGCTTTTTAGTCCCCCCAGACATGCGAGGAAAAAGGAGATTACATAGCCAATGAAATGCAGCAAACTGATACGCCGGGACACTAAGTACCTAAACACATTACTATTACTGTATTTCTTTTGTGTCATGCGGTATCATGTTTGTACCTAGTGTTTACATCATACCAACTTCCCCGTATGCTGGGCCATTTTGCGAAATATAGCAGGTTTTTCCGGGATAGCCCAGGCAGAATAGGACAAAAGTAAACTGTAATATATGGCAGGTTTCTTGTGGAAATACAAGTTGCATAAAGTTTTCATTAACAGTGGCAAGTGTATTTGTCGCGCGATCGTTACTACGGTGGCATTTTACTGTCAATTCAATGGCAAAACACTAACAGTTGGCCACAGGGCCGTAGCATTGGAGACTCCACGTCGTTAAATAGGAACGACAAATATTTCCACAAGTTGGCCCCCTGGTGGTCCAGTATGTGTAACAGAGGGACCAGCTGCAGGCGGTCGGTTGTCTTGTAGATGAACATCGACGGCGATGCGTTCCATCTGAAGTCTGAAGGCAACCTTGGGCTCTGGAAGGTTCGCTGGGTTGTCCATGCTGGCGGGGGTCTTTATGTTGCCCTGCGGCAA